TGGTGACAAACCATTCAGGGGGTCGCTTCACCTAGATAGGCCGCTAAACAAGGTTGCTAAACTGGGGCCCCCAATGTATTTAAAGTGCATTTGCAATTGCAATACCCACCGTGGTAATCGCAACATTTGATTGCTTGCAATCTCACATGTTTCTTCTTTGTGCACACTGCCAGGGTTAGATGATATACAACAAGTGTCCCGGCAGTGAAGAAAACAAAATCTGTCGATCAAACCTCCGGCATATCTAAACCAACATTAATATACTCCATTAAGTGAAGGTAGAATGTCTTTTTCAGGTCTTTAAAGCCCTCTTTTTTTCCAAGCACATGCAAAACCCTGTAGATCTATTGTGTTCCATTTGGATTGCATGGAAGGAGCATCAAGTCTATTGGTGTGATGGTGTAAATAGTTTTGATGTGACTTTCATTTTGGCAAATAAGTCACAACCACATGCAAAGTGCCCCAATAGCACTAGACAACCTCAGCACATGCCCAACACAGCGGCAAAAACTACTCCACCCTATATATCCACCACAGAAACAACAAGGTTTTCTGCTCCCTATTTTGCCCCAAGAACAAACTCTCCATATGGTGCCCCTCACAGGATTGCGTAGCCCAGTTGCACTCACTTGTATATTAGTGATTTCTCTTGTTAAGCTGGCAACCAATATGGAACAGGCAGGCATGCGAGCTTTCACTAAGTCCCACGCTCCCCTAGCCATAATGGAAAGCCTTAAAAAATAGCACAATAGATAAGGATAGCACAACAAAGCATTTATTATCTTGGTTCAAAGGAGAGGAAACGCAGATGACTCTAAACAACGCCCAGACATTATCAGGACATACAATCACTTCTTGCCTTAACAATCCCTCAATACCCTCATTTGTCATTTCCATATCGCCAGTAGCAACGCCTTCTCGTTTTGCTTCCTCAGCGCTTCATCTCGCCAATATTCCTACCTTCTCTATCCTTTTCTGATTGTCACTTTCCTCACTGAATGACAACCGCTCTCTGTCGTTGTTTTTGAGCACATTGAGTTGATCAGAATCTTTCTAGCTCTTGCCAATCCATTAACAATTATCGATTGTTCGTAGCAGAGGATTTAAATCACCTTCCAGCAATCCTCGAGCCTTAATAGGTGGTGCGCTTCTGTCAGTACTTTGCCTTTTTGGTCTTGCAATACACTTGAATGTGGTCCATCTTCAAACTCACTTCACACGTTTCTCTTCCTTCTCCAACCGCTAAGGCCTTCGGGAACTTTCGATAGAGTCGCCGTTGCCTTGCCCGATTCCCAGGATCCACAAGCAACCATAGGCAATGACTGCTCCCTTGTTGGTAATGTGTGTTGTCTCCTTGCAACTTTATTTGGAATTTGCGAATCAAAAGAAATGCATGCAGTACAGATCTTCCACTTTTCTGTGCACTATGCAATGTTCATGCACCTTGATGCATAGGTATCCTCAATAGCAACCCTTGTTCAACCTTGATTTCGGTAGTTGATAATACTATGCAACACGTTGCAACGCAACGCATTGCGATGCAACACACAATGGACACCTGATTTCGGTAGGTTGCACATTCTCAACGATGAATCACTATATGACATACCCCTAGCAACTATGATTCCTTCATGCATCCTCTCAGCACCGCATACAGTCCACCAACGACACATGCCACCAACTTCACACTGGTAATTATCAATAAATATGAAATTGAATGCAATCTCCACCACGTTCTTGCCCAATGATCGCACCATACATACCACTTGGGAAAACAGCCCCCTGGTGGTTGGACCACTAAGTTAATGACCGACTGTGGTGAGAGGTGGGGGTCCAGTAGCTAGACGGCACCAAAAGGAAGCTGTAAGCGGACCGTCGTTGAACCAGATGGCTTGGTAGTGGAGGCACTGCTCGCCAGGCGTCCGCTTCATAAAACAAACTCGGCCAGAACGGCCGGGGAGAGCAAGGCACTCGGTGCCTTCGGGTTGTGCCAACGAGTTAGCGCGAAGCGAAACAAGATGGGAGGGGGACCAAGGGGGGAGCATACCGTATTTACCCGGCATTAGTAGGCACCCCCTATTAGTATCCACCCCCCTCTTTGGGGGTCGAACCCACGTTAGTATCCATGACCCGGTGTTAGTATCCACCCCCAAACCTCAACAGAGCAGAAACGACGGAAGCCGCGGATGGTGGCAAGGGAAGTCGGGGGCTGGTGTTGGAACTCGTTGCCCAGTCTGGACCAAACCGCGTTCCCTGCGATTCGCACATCAACGGGGACGATCGGGTCGGGGCGGATGTTGTCGAGGGAGAATTTCGAGGGGTTCCCGCAAAAAGCCGCGCTGTCGACTGGCCGCCGTTGGCGTTCTCAGCGCAGGGTCGCAAGGCAGCGACTGACGCCGCAAGGCACGATGATAGAAGCGGTCGAGAATTCAAAGCCGTCCTAGTTTCTGGATTGAGCCAACCTGCACCCCGGCCGGCCAGAGCTGGTTCCGGCCTGGCGCTTGGCACGGGTCCCCCAATGCCCAGCGCCAGAAATGGGCAGGCGACGGCATAGGTCGAGACCCCGCCTTGCAAAACTGGCCGTAAAATGCTGCGAAGGTGGGGCAAAACACATCTCACTGGCTACCAGGCCACAGACCCAAACACAGATCCCGTCAGCTTTCCCAGCCGCCATCAGCAAGGGAAAACGCCGCGTGTCGAGCATCGTCGCGACGTGGTGCCCCAGCGAGTCGAGACCCATGTCAGGTCTTGTTCTTTGCATTGCAGAGGCAAATGCGCCTGGAGCATTCCAGCGAACCCCTGACGGCCCCAATCGCCAGTCGCCACCAGCTGGTGCAACCCCAAGTCAAGGCCGCCAGTTCCTGTGAAGAGCCTGATAACATTCCGCACTAGCATCGCCATTTTTGTCCATTTTGGGGTATTTCACGGCCTATTTGTCAAAATTTTCTTTGTCTACTCTTTGGAATCAGGGGTCCAAACCGCGTTAGTATACATGACCCGCTATTAGTATCCACAGCTCTTTTTGCGGGTCCAATACATGCCTACTAATACCGGGTAAATACGGTAAGTAGCCGCCCCCGCTCAGCATCACCAAAGCCCGCCAAAGTCCAAGGGCGCCAAACTGACGGCATCTTAACCTTAAGGGCACCAAACTACGTACCTTGACTAACCCAGGTTACTAGAGGGGCCTGAAATCCGTTTGAATTCAACTGCTACCGATTTGAATCATCGGCGCAGCCTACCCAACGTTGTCCATGGTGGAAACATATTAACTAGTTAGTTGCATTTATATTTACAATAGTAAGATAGTTCACTGCATTACATTTGCAAAGAGGCTGCCGGTTGCCCACCGGCTCAAGGAAGCCTGCATCAAGGAATATGGGAAACTCGTGGCCAAAGAAGAGGCCATTCAAAGCTACCAAAGTATCAATGATCCGGCTCAAAACCCCGGAAGGAGTTGAGGTGGGAGAGGGGGAGAGTGTTGCAAGCCATGCCCAAGGGCTGGTTACTGAAGTTCTTGAGCCCATTGCAAAAGGCTTTTAGACAAATTTTGGGAATGTGGAGCAAGGTGTGGCCATGAGACAACTTTGGGAATGTAAAGCAAGATGTGGCCATGAAGAACCCCCCTGGGGTTGCAAAAGGCCATGGTCGTGAGTTCATTCACTTTGGATTCACTCTTGGCCATGGCGATTATAAAGTGGCGACATTGCTTTCGTGCATAATAGGTAGGCCAAGTGGTTAGAAACCCTGTAACGGGCTGCACCCACAGCACTGCCAGGCATGGGACCGCACCAGCACCAGGATGGTTGCCATTCTGAGGGGCTACTCATCACTACATGCAACACATGCTCGGTTTCAGCCAGGACCCAAACTGGCTCCAGTTGGAAGAAAATTTATTAGCATATTTAAGGGCAGCCCATACTTTAATACCCTGAGAAATTGGCCACGGATTCCGACCATGACGTTGATTGACGCAGCCACCCATCGTCCCCCTTGGCGAAAACCCATCAGGTAGTTAGTTCCATGCCTTCAGGCACCTTCCAAAAACGAAATTACAGCGCTCTGCGCTGCATTCGTGCACGCATATGGTCACAATAAAATTCTGTGACAGTCGTGTGCGTTGCATTACATGCTCAACTATGCAACACGATGCGCCGAACACCAAGAGGCGAAGTTCAAAATCTCCTGGGGTCTACCGCACAACGTCGTATGACTGCGGTTGATTGAGGGTTCCCACCCCCTAGGTCTTGACCACCAACTCCGTTACCCCATAACCCGCCAATTCCACAACTTGTTACCCTCCCACAATCCAAAACGAGCAGCTCCACCCTCCAGAAGCAGAAGACTTCACCTGCAACTCATCTCCGCCTATCCTCGCACACAATTTATGAACAGAAATGAACAACATGTAGGTCCTTGATTGATGGCCACCATCCATGCTGTTTGCCACCGACTTCGTTTTGCCCTCCCTCCACTTCCGTTGCAGTCTTCCCCACCCAAATGGAAGGCGGCTCCATCGCTCCAGAAAAGCTAGCCTACTTGCTGCTGGAACAGAGCAGCACTAGCACAGCATATTTGCCCACCGCTGCATTCATTCGGCCCTCCCACACAGCGAGGAAGGCAACCCTATCGCTCCATATTATGCAATCGCATTTCTCCTAAAACAAGCACACGACCTGTGCAGCAACACCACCCGACCAACCACTAGGAAGATGACATGCAGATCAGCTGCTCAGGTACTCAACATGGCCTTGCAATTTCTACCAGGAGCACTGGCAGCAGCAAGAATCGCATGCATATCAAACCTGACAACGAGAATTTCTGCCACAAAACAGCCCCAGCCCCTTTAGCCAACAAGCATACCCTGAACCAATGCCACTTTTGGCACCCACTATCTGCGACACTAATGTTGTATGAATTCAACCCTTGGATAAAAAACAATGGAAATCTTGTGCACACTTGCAACAAATTAAAATCCAACCACAGCCCATCAGGACCCATCACCTCGTACCAAAACAATTGACCCACCTAATGCAGCACTTGCGGCAAAACATGCAGCAGCACTTAAAACAGCCACATTTCGAGCAGCAGGGTGCAGCATCTTCACCTGTCTCATCTCGCACATCCACATCTCGCACACGCACATCTGCAACTGCCATTACTCCTTCCCTGACAGCTACCGGACTATCTGCAACATCACTCCTACCCTTGGGCTTGGCTTCAACAGCATCCAAACCCCCACCATGTCTCCCACCTACTGGTTGTGAGAACCTGACATCTCTTTCACTGATCATGTCCTTTTCATCCTCTGACAAAACTGATTTTTCTTTGGGCAAATCTTCTGCCCCATTTTCTGGTGAAGGTCCACCACTTGCACCATCTGGCAGAGCATTTACAGCCACCAACGGTTCACTAACTGCAGCAGCTGCAGCTGGCTTGACCACATCGGCAGTTGGAGCGCCTGCATTAGCAGCTGGTGTGTCATGCACAGCATCAGGGGCTACCTTTGGGGAATCCTTCATGGCCTTGGACCCAGTGGCCGAGGCCGCTGCAGCAACTGGGACAACCTTCTGAGCTTCGTTTTTCGTATCTAAGCCATATTCCAAAGCAGGCAAATCCTTTGCAGCATGTGGTGAGCCCTTAGCCTCATATGGCAAGTCCCTCGCAGCAGATGGGCCAGTTGATGTGGCAGAGGGTGTATCCTTTGCAGCCTCTGGCAAGGCCTTCACAGCAGCTGCCTTTGCACCATCTGCTGAAACCTCAGGCTTAGAGGTGAAATCCTGTGATGCACCTGGTGCACCTGAGTCCTTCCCGCCAGCTGGTTCTTTGTCGTCCAGGACCACTGCCACATCTGGCTCCGACTTCCTCTTGCTGCGCACCTTCCTGCTGAGTCTGGACAGTAACCCTCTTCTTGGTGTTCCCTCGACAGGAGACACCTTTCCAGCTTCCGCCCTGTCAGCAATTGGGGGTCCCAGTCCTTCAGTTGGTGCGACCATTTCAGGAGCTTGAGCACTCTTATCAACGTGTGGAGCAGCCAGCGCGTTGCCAGAGGTTTCTGGCAACGCACTCACAACATCTGGCGCATCGTGCACACCTTCTGCAGTAGCCGGACCAGCCTGGACAGCATCCTGCAAGGCCATGGCTGCCACTGGCACGGCCGCGCTAGCTGCTGGAGCGGCCACCGCCCCGGGCGTACTGTCCTTCTTTACTGCTGGCGAGCCTTTGGTGGTGTCCGGGGCATCCTTCGCGGCAGATGGTGTGCCCTTGGACCCCTTTGGCGCTTCCGTCACAGCCCCTGGGCCCCCCTTTGCTGGCACGCCTATTGGCGTCCCTGCAGGGCGTGCATTCTCTTCTGCCGTGCCAGGTTCCCCCTTTCCCTCAGGGGCCGCCTTAGCTGTTGCTTTGGCATCCCCTGGAAGAGGCCACGGGGCTATGTCCCTGTCCTTGACAGCCGCAGTGGCTTCATCGTCACTGCTTTCTGGCAGGGCAGGCTTGCGTTGAACACCAACAGGCGAGGCGGATGGCTTGAAGGACAGCGCTTTCTTCATCGACTGCCACTTGGCCTTGGCTGCAATGCCATCACCTGGGCACCAGCAGAACTGAGAAACACACCATGATGTCCAACATACCACACAACGACACAGTGCAGGTGATCACCTCCATTGGACACAAGTTGCACACTTTGGCGTCAGCGCGCAAAAGGAAGGCACAAGGGGACAGAAGGGCGAGCGACATACCTCGAAGAGCCATCGGCAGTGAATGCATCTCGCCCAGCTTGGCTTCGATGATGGGAACCAGGTCCATCCCATTCGCCTTGGCCACTCCCTGCAGCTCCTTGTAATAGCCCAAAGGCGTGTGGAACTCATCTGGCACCCTGAGCAGCACACAGGCAGGCAATTGAAGTCGCACGTGCCTTTCCGGAGAGGTGACTCACAGCCACGGGACCCTCTGCAACCCCAGAACGAGCTGTACAGTTTCCATCAAACGACTGGACTGCCACCACAAATAGGTATGCAGACTGCAGGCCACCCATGCAGCAAAGCTCTACAGCTGTCCGTCTGCTGACGGTTGTGCAGTTTCAAAGCACCCTGTGGCACTCCTCCACCACCAACGCGCCCCATGCCCGCACCCCACCTCACAGCATAGCTAAAGGAACACAGGCCAACACCGGCTTGCTGCCAATCAGGCAGTCAGCACCATGGCAACTCACTTCTTGTAGATGGTGGCCGCCTTCTCTGGGCCGAGCGCCCCCTTGATGTACTCATCCAACATCTTCACATCCGCAAGCGCCTCCCTCCTCTGCAGCTCTACCACCAGCGGGTGGTCGTCTCCAAGCCTGGTGGCCAAGGTCTCCGTGACGTCCACCTCTTGTGTATCTCCCTCCAGTCTGCCACTCAGATCTTCATAGAAGTCTGCAGGTGTGTTGAAATCATCAAGTGGCCTGGGGTGAATGCACCAAAGGCACACTTAGCACCATAGGCAACCTTCAGCCCATCACTGCTAAAGGGCACTGGAAGCCATCCGAGTGGGAAGGCCACAACAAATCGGACGATGCGGAACAAGTAAGGGCAGAAGGCAACACCCTGTCACACTGGGTAGTGGTTCCCAGGAAGCACCACTGGCGCAACACTCCCACAGCAGCCTCTTCACAAACAGAGCTCCCTTGGGCAGGGGCAGCAGACAGCCCGGCCCACAGAGTGGTGGTTGTAGTGTACGAAGAGCAACGGATATCGCCATAGGCATATGCACACTGCAGAGGACTGCACATGGGGCCCAAGGTGATGCTGCTCGCAAGCTGCACATTTATCCACATGTATCGAGCCAAAATGGTCAGCGCAGGGATACGACCATGGGACATCTGCCCATCGCCCCGATCTGCCACGTCCATTTCAACCGTGAAGACAGGAAACTGGCGCAGGACAGCGCACAGCAGCATCGACAGCACTCCCACCTGTTGAAATACTTCGTTGGGTCGATTCCCAGCTCCGTGAACAACTCTGCCAGTTCATCGTTCAGCTCCCCCACCTCAGGTTTCGTCAACGCTTGACCCCACACTGGCTGATCGACATACGAGACGGCCACTTCCTCACCCATCTCCTTGCCAGCCCCCACTATGCTCATCAGCTTGGACATCAGACCCCTCTTTGGCTTGTCCCCGCTTGGGGGACCCTTTACCACTCTTGGTGAAGCCTTTGCCACATCGGGAGCACCTTCTGCGGCAGCCGGGGCAGCCTTGCCAGCACCCTGCGAGGTCATGGCTGCAACTGGCAAGGCTGCACCAGTTGCTGCAGCGCCCACCGGCCCAGGCGGCACTGCCTTTGCAGCATCTGGGCGGTCCTTCCCAGCGCTTGGAGTGCCCTCTGCAACAACTGGCAAGTCCCTCGAGGCAAGTGAGGAACCCTTTGGACCATCTGAAGCACCATCCGCATCGTTCGTGCCACTGGGACCATCTGCACCACCCACCCCGGAGCCTGGAGCGACCTTAGCCCCGCCAGGTACACCGACATCTGCTCTGCCCTTGGAAGCGTCACCAGTGCCCTTCGAACCATCTGGCGAAAACTCACCCACAACGGCTGAGTCCCCTGTGGCACTGGGGACGCCCTTCAGGCCATCGGAGGCAGCCACCAGGGCGCTTGGGGACTCTGTTGCTCCAACTGCCACACCACCATCGGGTGTGCCCGTGGGAACAACGTGAATGCCCGTGGCAGCATCTGGCGAACCCTTGGGAGCATCAGGAGCGCCCTTCAAGCTATCTGTTGTCGACTTCGGAGCACCAGGAGTGCCCTTCAAGCCATCTGGCAAGCGCTTGGAGGCAGCTTGCGTGCCCTCACCTGCAGTTGGCAAAGCCCCAGACCCAACTGGCAACTCCCTTGCGGCATGCAGGGAGCTCTTTGGAGCATCTGGAGCCGTCTTGGGAGCATCCAGGCTGCCCTCCGCCACGACCGGCAAGTCCCCTGCCTGAGACGGGGCACCTCCGCTGGCATCTGGCCCCTCCTTTGGAGTATCTGGTGCCCCCTGGATGGCAGCTGCTTCTTTCACACCCGGTGCAGCCGCCTCTGTATCTGACTTTTTCTTGCCACGCACCTTCCTGCTCAGTTTGGAGAGCAATCCTCTCTTGGGTTTCTCCTCACCACCCTTTCCAAAACGCGGAGTGACCACTTGCGCTGCGTCCCTGCCCAATGCTGATGGGTCCTCCTTGCCAGATGGTGTCTCCTTTACGGGAGGCTCAGTGCCCTTTTCAGCAGCTGGAGACCCTGATGCGGCAGCCGCTGCCTCCCCAGGGGTTTCTGGAAGGCCCTTTGCACCGGCTGGGCTGTCCCCCGCGCCATCTGGGCCACCCTTGCCTCCAACTGGCAGGGTTTTGGCGGCATCTGCAGCACCCTTGGCAGCATCCGAAGCACCCTGCACTGCAGCTGGCAAGGCCATCGCTGCCACTGGCAAAACCTGGGCTGCCATTGGCAAGCCCTTGCTCGCCTCTGTACTGTCCTTCTTGGCTGCCGGCGAGCCCTTTGGGACGTCTGGGGCATCCTTCGTGGTGGACGGTGTGTCCTTGGGCCCCTCCAGGGCTTCCATCCCAGTCGCTGGGGCCCCCTTTGCTGGTTCCCCCGCTGGTGCCTCTGCGGGAAGTGCTCCCTTCGTCTCCTCGCCAGGCTCCCCCTTTCCCTCAGGGACTGCCTTAGCTGCCGCCTTGACTTCCCCGGGAAGAGGCCATGAGGCTACGCCCCTGCCTTTGACAGGCACAGCACCCGCACCGTCGCTGCTGTTTGGCTGTGTAGGCTTGCCTTGAGCACCAGCGCGCAAGGCCGGTGGCTTGAAGGACAGTGCTTTCTTCATCGATTGCCACCTGGCTTTGGCAGCAATGCCATCACCTGCACACCAGCAGAACTGAGCAACGGACCAGTCTGTCCAACAGTCCACAAAAGGACGCAGAGCAGGCAATCAACTCCATTGGATGAAATTTGCACACTTCAGGGCGCAATGGGAAGGGACGAGGGACAGCACAGAAGGGCAAGCAGCCTACCGCGAAGCGCCAACGGCAGTGGATGCATCTTGCCCAGCTTGGCTTCGATGATGGGAACCAGGTCCATCCCATTGGCCTTGGCCACTCCCTGTAGCTCCTTGTAATAGTCCAAAGGCGTGTGGAACTCATCCGGCACCCTGAGCAGCACACAGGCAGGCAATTGAAGTCGCACGCGCCTTTCCATAGCTCTGAATCACAGGGTGCTCTGCAACCTCGGAACGAGCCACATTGTTTCCATTGCACAACTGGACTGCCACCACAAACGGGTGTGTGGACTGCTGGCCGGGCGCGCACCAAATCCCTGCAGCCATCTGTCTGCTGATGGTCGGGCAGTGTGTGCAAGCAGGTTGCGAGCAACAAACAACAAGGCAGCCTGCGGCACTCCTCCAGGGCCACCTCGCCGCGTGTCCACACCCCATTAACAGCACACCCAAACCAACACATGCCAGGACCAGCTTGCGGCCAATCAGTCAGCACCACAGCCACTCACTTCTTGTAGACGGTGGCCGCCTTCTCTGGGCCCAGCTCCCCCTTGATGTACTCATCCAACACCTTGACGTCTGCGAGGGCCTCTCTCCTCTGCAGCTCGACCACCAGCGGGTGGTCATCTCCAAGTCTGGTGGCCAAGGTCTCCGTGACGTCCACATCTTGTGTATCTCCCTCCAGTCTGCCGCTAAGTTCTTCATAGAAGTCCGCAGGTGAGTCGAAGTCGTCAAGAGGCCTGGGGCAAAGGCAAAAAAGGATAGCTTGGCAACACAAACAACCTTCAACAAGCCACCGCTCAAGCGCACTGCAGACAAACCATGCGGGATTGCCAAGGGCAAATAGAACGAAGAGGACAAACGAGAGCAAGAGAGAAAACCGAGTGCTGGCTCCCAGCCAGCATTGTTCGGCACAACACCGCCACAGAAGCCTCTTCCAAAGCACACTCTTCCTTGGGCGGAAGCAACAGTCTGCCGGCAGACCACTGGTCCTGGAGTACCAAGGTCAATCCATACCACCACAGGGACATGCAGACTCCAGAGGAGTGCAAATGTGGAGGCTGTGCTGGCAACAGCCCTTATACAAAAGTATATTGGGGATTCCTGCAAGCGACACAGCACTTGTCCCCTTTCTTCAGGGCACAAAATTAATAAAACGACAGTCCCATGGAGAAATGCGGACGAGAATGACGGCACAGGAGAAAAGGCGGCGCCAGTATTTCTTACACTATACAGGAGACTGGGCAACGTGATGACTAGGCAACGCGATAACTGTCCCATTCTTGCATTTGCAAGCACTTGAAGCAACCTCATGCCGTCAACCCAAAGGTCTCTCATAAAGGTTGGCCTCTTGGTCGTTCCCTGTTCACAAATCTGCTAATGGCTCACACTGGGCCACGAAACAACGAGAATTACTGCCAGTTGGTTCACAGAAGTTCGCCACTCCGTCTTCCCCCTTTCTCTAAGCTCCTCGGCTTAGCTCCTTGGTTCCTGACTAGGGGGTCAATTGATCACAACAGGCATCTGTGCATGACAATTCAAGGCGCTTGGGCCTTCCCTGTGCCCGGGCCCAGGCCTGCGCGTTGAGAGCCCAATCAGTGTGCAACGATCTTTTCAATTGAGCTCACCACTCCATCTTGTGGCCTGCACCCCAGCAAAGCCACAAAAAGGGTGCCTTTGCATTGCCAGGCCCACCGGCTTCTGTCCCCAACGGCATATGCAAAGACAATATTCGCAAACTATAACGTGCAGATGATAGCTAGACACTCATGGTTTCCCCTATCAAGCGCCAACGTTTGCGCGCAACCAGAGGGGGCTCTTTTTCCAGCTTCCCAAGGCTACTCATCATCCATCAGTGCCACATGAGCCTCTGCTGGGTCGATTCGGAACCAACCAACAACTGCAAGCTGCTGCTTCAGCATTATGTGGAAGAACACACCCCATAAAACACGATGCAAACATTTCAAAATGCGCAAAATGCAAAATACACTACAGCACACACGCTTGAAGCAAAGTAGTCAGTGCAGCGCAACGATCTGGGGGCGCACATCCCTGGGGCCCACCAGCCCCGTCAATTTCCACCTGGTAGATGGCAAACTGGTGCAGGCCAGCACCCAGCAAGCAGCGACACCACTCCCACCTGTTGAAGTACTTCGTTGGGTCGATTCCCAGCTCCGTGAACAACTCTGACAGTTCGTCGTTCAGCTCCCCCACTTCAGGCTTCGTCAAGGCCTGACCCCACACTGGCTGATCGACATAAGAGACGACCACTTCTTCACCTGGCTCCGGCTCCTTGCCAGCCCCCACTACACTCAACAGCTTGGACATCAGACCCCTCTTTGGGTCGCCCCCTTTTGGAGTGCCCTTCAGAACTGTTGGTGAGGGCTTTGGAGCCTCGGCCGCACCTCCCCCGCCAGCCGGGCCAGCATTGCCCGCACCCTGCGAGGCCATGGCTACCACCGGCAAGGCCGCACCAGCTGCTGCAGTGCCCACCGCCCCAGGCAGCACTTCCTTTGCAGTAACTGGGCCATCCTTCCCAGCGCTTGGCCCGCCCTCTGCCCCAACTGACAAGTCGCTCGAGGCAAGGGTGGTGGCCTCTGGATCGTCTGGAGCACGACTGGCAGCCTTGGGGGCGGCCTGTGCCCTACTAGGACCATCTGGACCACCCACCCCAGAGCCTGGAGAAACCTTAGCCCTGCCAGGTACACCGGCATCTGGTGTGCCCTTGGGAGTGTCCCCAGTGCCCTTCAGGCCATCTGGCAAGCCTCCACCCGCAACAGGCGATTCCCCTACATCACTGGGGATGCCCTTCGACCCAGCGGGGGTAGCAGCCACAGTGCTTGGGGACACTGTGGCCCCACCCCCCACACTGCCATCAGGTGCACCTTTGGGACCAGCGGGTGTGCCCTTGGGAGTATCAGGAGTGCCCTTGGGAGCATCGGCAGCACCCTTGGGAGCATCGGCAGCGCCCTTGGGAGCATCGGCAGCGCCCTTGGGAGCATCGGCAGCGCCCTTGGGAGCATCGGCAGCGCCCTTTGAGCTAGCTGGTATCGACTTCGGAGCAGCAGGAGTGCCCTTTGAGCCATCCGGCAAGCCCTTGGATGCACCATGGGTGCGCTCACCTGCAGTTGGGAAAGCCCCAGATCCAGCGGGTAACTCTCCTGCAGCTTGCGGGGCGCCCTTTGGGGCATCTGGAGCCGTCTTTGTAGCATCCGGGCTGCCCTCCACCACAGTCGGCAAGTTCCCTGCCTGAGACGGGGCACCTTCAGTGGCGTTGGGCCCCCCCTTTGGAGTATCCGGTGGGCCCTGCATGGCAGCTGCTTCTTTCACGTCTGGCGCAGCCAAGTCCGCATCTGACTTCTTCTTTCCGCGCACCTTCCTGCTCAGTTTCGACAGCAATCCTCTCTTGGGCTTCTCCTCACTGCCCTTTCTGGAGCGCGGGGTCACCACTGGCTCTGCGTCCCCGCCCACAGCTGAAGGGCCCTCCTTACCAGATGTTGTCTCCTTTGAGGGAGCCTCAGTGCCCTTGTGAGTAGCTGGAGACCCTGATGCAGCAGCCCCTGCCTCCCCAGGGGTTTCTGGCAGCCGCTTTACACCGGCTGAGCTGTCCCCCACGCCATCTGGGCCACTCTTCCCTCCGACTGGCTGGGCTTTGGTGTCATCTGGGACACCCTTGGCAGCATCCAAAGTGCCCTGCGCTGCAGCTGGCAAGGCCATCGCTGCCACTGGCAAAACCTTGGCTGCCGCAGGCAGCCCCTTGCTTGCCTCTGTACTGTCCTTCTCCACTGCCAGCGAGCCCTTGCTGGCGTCCAGGGCATCCTTTGTGGTGGACGGTGTGTCCTTGGGCCCCTCTGGGGCTTCCGTCCCGGCTGCTGGGGGCGCCTTTGCTGGTACCCCCGCTGGCGCCTCTGCGGGAAGCGCTCCCTTCTTCTCCTCGCCAGGCTCCCCCTTTCTCTCAGGGGCTGCCTTACGTGCCTCCTTGGCTTCCCCGGGAAGAGGCCATGCCACTATGCCCCTGCCCTTGACAGGTGCAGCGGCCACACCATCATCGCTCTCCGGCTGCGAAGGCTTGCCTTGAACACCAGCAGGCAAGACTGACGGCTTGAAGGACAAAGCCATCGATCGCCACCGCTATGCATGCCATTCATTCGCACACTATTGATGATTTTTGACCAATCCAGAGATTTGCGGAAACTGTTTGGCATGCGCAACTGTGAATGCAGCTGTTCGTGTTGAAAATTGGACCCTGGTGCACAGAGTATTGAGAAACTGGCAGTGCTTCGACTCCCAACAACTCTGGAAAGAAGAGGCCAATTCCACTGTTCTTGTAAAACAGAACAAAATCACCATAGTGACGGCCTGCTTCCAGCCAGAGCGCAAGGGCTGCACTTTGAGAACTCATCTAGATGGGGTCAAAGAACTTGAGCACCGGTCGTCGTCTGATCGTCGATTTCCAGCGCATTTAGGCTGATGCGGAAAAGAGCTACGCACAATTTCTTTGTTGGCCTTCAGGTGCTCTTGGGGCTTTGGCACATGTTATCTTTGAATACGTTGTCTGACTGGACACCACTCTATCTGTGGATACAAATAACGCTCCTAGTAGGGCAAATTTGCTGTTACACAAAGGAAGTTCTACACAAGACTGCAGTGCACGCGATAACATTTGTCGGGCGAAATATAGCACACTTCAGCATCCCTGCACAAGGGAAAGAGCAAGCCGACAGCGCAGAATGGCCATACTCTTACCGCGAAGTGCCAACGGCAGCGGATGCGTCTTGCCCAGCTTTGCTTCGATGATGGGAACCAGGTCCATCCCATTCGCCTTGGCCACTCCCTGCAGCTCCTTGTAATAATCTAAAGGCGTGCGAAATTCATCCGGCACCCTGAGCAGCACATAGGCAGGCACTTGGAAGTCGCCCCAGCTTTTTCGGAGCTTTGACTCACAGCCACAGAAACCTCTACAATCTTGCAACGAGCTATACAGCTTGCATTGCAAGACAGGATTGCCACACAAACGGGTGCGCAGACTGCAGACTGCTCACACACCAGACCTCTGCAGCCACCTGTCTGCTGACGGCTGTGCAGCTGGCGCCACTGAGGTGCCAGCAAAACTACAAGGTGGGGCGCGGCACTCCTCCAGGACCACCTTGCTGCATGCCCACACCCCACCTCACAGCACAAGCTAACGCCGACTTGCTGCCAATCAGGCAACCAGCACAGCCACTCACTTCTTGTAGACGATCGCCGCCTTCTCCGGGCCCAGCTCCCCCTTGATGTACTCATCCAACACCTTGACGTCCGCGAGGGCCTCCCTCCTCCGCAGCTCGACCACCAGCGGGTGGTCGTCTCCAAGCCTGGTGGCCAAGGTCTCCGTGACGTCCACATCTTGTGTATCTCCCTCCAGTCTGCCACTCAGTTCTTCGTAGAAGTCCGCTGGTGAGTCAAAATCATCAAGAGGCCTGGGGCAAAGGCAAAAACACACACACACACACTTGGCAACACAGGCAACCTTCCACCCATCACTGCTCAAGGGCAGCGCACACAAACTGTGCGGGAGTGCAAACGGCAAACCGAAGGGAGAGGAGCAAACGAGAGCAATAAAAACACCAGGCACTGGCCACCAGCCAGCGCTGTTTGACACAACACCCCCACAGCAGCCTCTAAGCGAGCAGGGCTCCCTTGGGCAGGAGCAACAGACCGCCAACAGACCACTGGCTCGGGAATATCAAGGGCAACAGAGACCGCTGCAGGGATATGCAGCTTGCCGAGGTGAACAAACGTCCAAGCTGCACTGGCAGCAGCCCTCATGCACATGTTTGGAGCCAAAGCGGACAGTGCAGCGCAACGGTCTGGGGATGCGTGTTCAAGGGGCCGATCAGCTGCGTACATTTCAGCATGGCAGACGGCAAACAGGTGCACGCCAGCACCCAAGAAGCAGCGACACCACTCCCACCTGTTGAAATACTTCGTTGGGTCGATTCCCAGCTCCGTCAACAACTCTGACAGTTCGTCGTTCAGCTCCCCCACCTCGGGTTTCGTCAAGGCTTGACCCCACACTGGCTGATCGGCGTATGAAACGACCACCTCATCGCCCGGCTCCGGCTCCTTGCCAGCCCCCACTATGCTCAACAGCTTGGACATCAGACCCCTCTTTGGCTTGTCCCCTCTTGGAGTGCTCTTCGGCACTCTTGGTGAGGCATTTGGAGCGTCGGCCGCACCTTCCCCGGCACCTGGGCCAGCCTTGCTGGCACCCTGCAAGGCCATGGCTGCCACCGGCAAGGCTGCGCCAGCTGCTGCAGTGCCCACCGCCCTAGGGGGCGCTTCCTTTGCGGCATCTGGGCCATCCTTCCCAGCGCTTGGAGCGCCCTCCGCCCCAACTGGCAAGTCCCTCGAGGAAAGGGTGGCACCCTTTGGACCATCTGGAGCGCGATCGGCAGCCTTGGGGGCGGCCTTTGCACTGGAATCATCTGGACCACTCACTCCTACGCCTGGAGACACCCTGGCCCTGCCAGCTACACCAGCATCTGTTGTGGCCTTGGGAGCCTCCCCAGTGCCCTTCAAGCCATCTGGCAAGCCCCCACCCACAACAGGCGACTCGCCTACGGCACTGGGGATCCCCTTCGGGCCAGCGGGGGCTGCAGCCACAGTCCTTGGGGACACTGAGGCCACACCTGCCACACTACCATCGGGTGTGCCCTTGAGCGAGTCAGGCGTGCCTTTGGCTGCATCAGGAGTGCCCTTGGGAGCATTGCCAGTGCCCTTGGGAGCATCGGGAGCACCCTTAGGAGTATCAGGCATGTCCCTGGCAGCATAGGGAGTGCCCTTGGGAGCATCGGGAGCAGCGTTTGAGCTATCTGGTATCGACTTTGGAGCACCAGGAGTGCCCTTTGAGCCATCTGGCAAGCCCTTGGAGGCATCCTGGGGGCACTCACCTGCAATTGGGAAAGCCCCAGATCCAGCGGGTAACTCTCCTGCAGCTTGCAGGGCGCCCTTTGGAGCATCTGGAGCCGTCTTTGTAGCATCCCGGCTGCCCTCCACCACAGTCGGCAAGTTCCCTCCCTGAGATGGGGCACCTTCAGTGGCGTCGGGGCCCCCCTTGGGAGTATCCGGTGGCCCCTGCACGGCAGCCGCTTCTTTCACGTCCGGCACAGCCGACTCCGCATCCGACTTCTTCTTGCCACGCACCTTCCTGCTCAGTTTCGACAGCAATCCTCTCTTGGGCTTCTCCTCACCGCGCTTTTCGGTGCGCGGGGTCACCGCTGGCTCTGCAGCCCCACCCACTGCTGACGGGCCCTCCTTGCCAGATGATGTCTCCTTTGCGGGAGCCTTAGTGTCCTTCTCAGCAACTGGAGACCGTGATGCAGCAGTCGCTGCCTCCCCAGGGGCTTCTGGCAGGCCCTTCACACCGGCTGGGCTGTCCTTCACATCATCTGAGCCACTCTTGCCTCCAACTGGCTGGGTTTTGGTGTCATCTGGGGCACCCTTGGCAGCATCCAAAGCGCCATGCGCTGCAGCTGGCAAGGCCATCGCTGCCACTGGCAAAACCTTGGCTGCTGCAGGCAGGCCCTTGCTCGCCTCCATACTGTCCTTCTCAGCTGCCAGCGAGTCCTTGCTAGTGTCTGGGGCATCCTTTGTGGCGGACGGCGTGTCCTTGCGCCCCTCTGGGGCTTCCGTCCTGGCCGCTGGGGCCCATTTTGCTGGTGCCCCCGCTGGCGCCTTCGCAGGGAGCGCTCCCTTCTTCTCCTCGCCAGGCTCCCCCTTTCTCTCAGGGGCTGCCTCACCTGCCGCCTTATCTTCCCCGGGAAGAGGCCACGATGCTATGCCCCTGCCCTTGACAGGCACAGCGGCCGCTATGTCACTGCTCTCCGGCTGCGTAGGCTTGGCGTTGTCACCAGCGGGCGAGACTGACGGCTTGAATGACAGCGCTTTCTTCATCGACTGCCACCTGGCTTTGGCGGCAATGCCATCACCTGCACACCAGCAGAGCTGAGAAATGCATCAGGCTCTCCAACAGACTCTTCTGTCCCACTACAAGTGGCCCCTGTCAGGCTCAAGTGACCCCTGCTTTGCACCGCTATTTACATGAATTTTTGACCAATCCAGAGATTTGCGGAAACTGTTTGGCATGCGAAAGTGAGAATGTAGCCGATCGTGTTGAAAATTGGACCCTGGTTCACAAAGTATTGAGAAACTGACAGTTCTTCAACTCCAAACAACTCTGGAAAGAGGAGGCCAATTCCATGGTTCTTGTAAGAAAGAACAGAATCAACCTGGTGAAGCGCTGCTAGCAGCCAGTGCACAAGGGCTGCGCTTTGAAAACTCGCAATACAGCTGCGAACTAAGGTCACTGCACTCATCCTAAAGAGGCGCGACACATAGAAACGGGGTCAAAGGACCTTGAGCAGCGGGCGTCGTCTGATCGTCGATTTTCAGCGCCTTTAGGCTGGTGCGGAAAAGAGCTATGCACAATTTGTTTCTTGGCATTCAGGTGCTCTTGGGGCTTTGGCACATGTTATCTCTGGATACGATGTCTGACTGGGCACTCTTCATCTATGGATACATATACTGCTGCTAGTAGGGCACACTTGCCTTGACACAGAGGAAGTTCTACAAAAGACTGCAGTGCATGCGACATCAATTGTTGGGCGAAATATAGCACACTTCAGCGTCCGTGTCCAAGGTAAGAAGCAAGCCAGCGACGCAAAACGGCCAGACTCTTACCGCGAAGCGCCAACGGCAGTGGATGTGTCTTGCCCAGCTTTGCTTCGATGATGGGAACCAGGTCCATCTCATGCGCCTGTGCCACTCCCTGCAGCTCCTTGTAATAGTCCAGAGGCGTGCGGAACTCATCTGGCACCCTGGGCAGCACATAGGCAGGCACTTGAAGTCACCCGAGCCCTTTGGAGCTGTGACTCGCAGCCACAGGAACCTCTCCAACCCTGGAACGAGCTACACAGCTATCATTGCACGACTGGACTGCCACACAAAGGGGTGTGCAGACTGCAGACCATGCACACAGCAAACCTCTGCAGCCGCCTGTCTGCTGACAGCTGTGCAGCTGGCGCCACTGAGGCGCCAGCAAAATTACAAGGCGGCCAGCGGCACTCCTCCAGGGCCACCTTGCCACATGCCCACGCCCCACCTCACAGCACAGGCCAACGCCGACTTGCTGCCAATCAGGCAACCAGCACAGCCACTCACTTCTTGTAGACGATCGCTGCCTTCTCCGGGTCCAGCTCCCCCTTGATGTACTCATCCAACACCTTGACGTCCGCGAGGGCCTCCCTCCTCCGCAGCTCGACCACCAGCGGGTGGTCGTCTCCAAGCCTGGTGGCCAAGGTCTCCGTGACGTCCACATCTTGTGTATCTCCCTCCAGTCTGCCACTCAGTTCTTCGTAGAAGTCCGCTGGTGAGTCAAAATCATCAAGAGGTCTGGGGCAAAGGCAAAAAAAAAAACACACACACACACAGTTGGCAACACAGGCAACCTTCCACCCATCACTGCTCAAGGGCAGCGCACACAAACTGTGCGGGAGTGCAAACGACAAACCGTAGGGAGAGGAGCAAACGAGAGCAATAAAAACACCAGGCAATGGCCACCAGCCAGCGCTGTTTGACACAACACCCCCCCAGTGGCCTCTAACCAAGCAGGGCTCCCTTGGGCAGAAGCAACAGACCGCCAACAGACCACTGGCTCGGGAACATCAAGGGCAACAGAGACCGCTGCAGGGATATGCAGCTTGCCGAGGTGAACAAACGTCCAAGCTGCACTGGCAACAGCCCTCATGCACATGTTTGGAGCCAAAGCGGACAGTGCAGCGCAACGATCTGGGGATGCGTGTCCAAGGGCCCGGTCAGCTGCGTACATTTCAGCATGGCAGACGGCAAACTGGTATACGCCAGCACCCAAGAAGCAGCGGCACCACTCCCACCTGTTGAAATACTTCGTTGGGTCGATTCCCAGCTCCGTGAACAACTCTGACAGTTCGTCGTTCAGCTCCCCCACCTCAGGTTTCGTCAAGGCTTGACCCCACACTGGCTGATCGACGTACGAGACGACCACCTCATCGCCCGGCTCGGGCTCCTTGCCAGCCCCCACTATGCTCAACAGCTTGGACATCAGACCCCTCTTTGGCTTGTCCCCTCTTGGAGTGCTCTTCGGCACTCTTGGTGAGGCATTTGGAGCGTCGGCCGCACCTTCCCTGGCACCTGGGCCAGGTTTGCCAGCACCCTGCAAGGCCATGGCTGCCACCGGCAAGGCTGCGCCAGCTGCTGCAGTGCCCACCGCCCTAGGGGGCGCTTCCTTTGCGGCATCTGGGCCGTCCTTCCCAGCGCTTGGAGCGCCCTCTGCCCCAACTGGCAAGTCCCTCGAGGAAAGGGTGGCGCCCTTTGGACCATCTGGAGCGCAATCGGCAGCCTTTGGGACGGCCTTTGCACCACCGGAACCATCTGGACCACCCACCCCGACGCCTGGAGAGACCTTAGCCCCAACAGGTACACCAGCATCCAGTGTGCCCTTGGGACTGTCCCCGGTACCCTTCAAGCCATCCGGCAAGCCCTCACCCACAACAGGCGGCTCCCCTATGGCACTGGGGATGCCCTTCGAGCCAGTGACGGCTGCAGCCGCAGTGCTTTGGGACACTGAGGCCGCACCTGACACACTACCATCGGGTGCACCTTTGGGAGTATCAGGCGTGCCTTTCGCAGCATCGGGAGTGCCCTTGGGAGCATCGCCAGTGCCCTTGGGAGCAACGAGAGTGCCCTTAGGAGCATCACGCATGCCCCTGGCAGCATCGGGAGTGCCCTTAGCAGCATCGCGAGTGCCCTTGGAGGCATCGCCAGTGCCCTTGGGAGCATCGGGAGCGCCCTTTGAGCTATCTGGTATGGACTTCGCAGCACCAGGAGTGCCCTCTGAGCCATCCGGCAAGCCCTTGGAGGCATCTTGGGTGCACTCTCCTGCAGTTGGGAAAGCCCCAGATCCAGCTGGTAACTCACCTGCAGCATGCAGGGCGCTCTTTGGAGCATCTGGAGCCGTCTCTGTAGCATCCGGGCTGCCCTCCACCACAGTCAGCAAGTTCCTTGCCTGAGACGGGGCGCCTTCACTAGCCTTGGGCCCTTCCTTGGGACTATCTGGTGGCCCCTGCATGGCAGCCACTTCTTTCATGTCCAGCGCAGCCGACTCCACATCCGACTTCTTCTTTCCACGCACCTTCCTGCTCAGTTTCGACAGCAATCCTCTCTTGGGCTTCTCATCACCGCCCTTTCCAGAGCGTGGGGTCACCACTGGCTCTGCGTCCGCACCCACTGCTGACAAGCCCTCCTTACCAGATGGTGTCTCACTTGACGGAGCCACAGTGCCCTTCCCAGAAGCTGGAGACCCTGATGCGGCAGCCGCTGCCTCCCCAGGGGTTTTTGGCAGGCCCTTCGCACCAGCTGGGCTGTCCCCCGCGCCATCTGGGCCACCCTTGCCTCCAACTGGCTGGGCTTTGGTGTCATCTGGGGCACCCTTGGCAGCGTCCAAAGCGCCCTGTGCTGCAGCTGGCAAGGCCATCGCAGCCATTGGCAAAACCTTGGCTGCCGCTGGCAGGCCCTTGCTTGCCTTCGTACTATCCTTCTCAGCTGCCAGCGAGCCCTTGCTGGCGTCTAGGGCATCCTTCTTGGCAGTCGGTGTGTCCTTGGGCCCCTCTGGGGCTTCCGTCCCGGCCGCTGGGCCAACCTTTGCTGGTGCCCCCGCTGGCGCCTCCGCGGGGAGCGCTCCCTTCTTCTCCTCGCCAGGCTCCCCCTTTCTCTCAGGGGCTGCCTTACCTGCCGCCCTGGCTTCCCCGGGAAGAGGCCACGCCGCTATGCCCCTGCCCTTGACAGGTGCAGCAGCCACACCGTCACTGCTCTCCGGCTGCGCAGGCTCGCCTTGAACACCAGCGGGCGAGATTGACGGCTTGAAGGACAGCACTTTCTTTATCGACTGCCACCTGGCTTTGGCGGCAATGCCATCACCTGCACACCAGCAGAGCTGAGAAACGCATCCTCTGTCCCAGTACAAGTGGCCCCTATCACTTTGCGCTGCTATTTCCATGTTTTTTGACCAATCCAGAGATTTGCTGAAACTGTTTGGCAAGCATAATTGAGAATGTAGCCATTCGTGTTGACAATTGGACCCTGGTTCACAAAGTATTGAGAAACCGAAAGTGCTTCAACTCCCGACAACTCTGGAGAGAAGAGGCCAATTCCATGGTTCTTGTAAAACAGAACAAAAGCACCATGGTGAGGGGCTGCTTGCAGCCGGAGCGCAACGGCTGCGCTTTGGGAACTTGCAATATCACTTCGTTCTAAGGTCACCAAACTCACTCTAAAGAGGCACAACACATAGAAACGGGGTCAAAGGACTTGAGCAGCGGTCAACACCTGATCGTCGAATTTCAGCGCCTTTTAGGCTGATGCGGAATTGAGCTATGCACAATTTCTTTGTTAGCCGTGAGGCGCTCTTGGGGTTTCTGCACATGTTATTTCTGAATACACTGTCTGACTGGACACTGCTCTTTATCCGCGTATACATATAATGCTGCTAGTAGGGCACATTTGCGGTGACACAGAGGAAGTTCTACACAAAACTGCAGTGCACGCGATAACAACTGTCGGGCGAAATATAGCACACTTCAGCATCCGTGTGCAAGGTAAGAAGCAAGCCGGCAACGCAAAACGGCCAGACTCTTACCGCGAAGCGCCAACGGCAGTGGATGCGTCTTGCCCAGCTTTGCTTCGATGATGGGGACCAGGTCCATCTCATGTGCCTTTGCCACTCCCTGCAGCTCCTTGTAATAGTCCAGAGGCGTGCGGAACTCATCTGGCACCCTGGGCAGCACATAGGCAGGCACTTGAAGTCACCCGAGCCCTTTGGAGCTGTGGCTCGCAGCCACAGGAACCTCTCCAACCCTGGAACGAGCTACACAGCTATCATTGCATGACTGGACTGCCACACAAAGGGGTGTGCAGACTGCAGACCATGCACACAGCAAACCTCTGCAGCCGCCTGTCTGCTGACGGCTGTGCAGCTGGCACCACTGAGGTGCCAACAAAACTACAAGGTTGGGCATGGCACTCCTCCAGGCCCACCTTGCTGCATGCCCACGCCCCACCTCACAGCACAAGTGAACACAAGCCAACGCCGACTCGCTGCCAATCAGGCAACCAGCACAGCCACTCACTTCTTATAGACGATCGCCGCCTTCTCCGGGCCCAGCTCCCCCTTGATGTACTCATCCAACACCTTGACATCCGCGAGGGCCTCCCTCCTCCGCAGCTCGACCACCAGCGGGTGGTCGTCTCCAAGCCTGGTGGCCAAGGTCTCCGTGACGTCCACATCTTGTGTATCTCCCTCCAGTCTCCCACTCAGTTCTTCGTAGAAGTCCGCAGGTGAGTCAAAATCATCAAGAGGCCTGGGGCAAAGGCAAAAAAACACACGCACACTTGGCAACACAGGCAACCTTCCGCCCATCACTGCCCAAGTGCAGAGCTCACCAACTGTGCGGGAGTGCAAATGGCAAACCGAAGGGAGAGGAGCAAACGAGAGCAATAAAAACACCAGGCACTGGCCACCAGCCAGCGCTGTTTGACACAACACCCCCACAGCAGCCTCTAAGCGAGCAGGGCTCCCTTGGGCAGGAGCAACAGACCGCCAACAGACCACTGGCTCGGGAATATCAAGGGCAACAGAGACCGCTGCAGGGATATGCAGCTTGCCGAGGTGAACAAACGTCCAAGCTGCACTGGCAACAGCCCTCATGCACATGTTTGGAGCCAAAGCGGACAGTGCAGCGCAACGGTCTGGGGATGCGTGTTCAAGGGGCCGATCAGCTGCGTACATTTCAGCATGGCAGACGGCAAACTGGTGCACGCCAGCACCCAAGAAGCAGCGACACCACTCCCACCTGTTGAAATACTTCGTTGGGTCGATTCCCAGCTCCGTGAACAACTCTGACAGTTCGTCGTTCAGCTCCCCCACCTCGGGTTTCGTCAAGGCTTGACCCCACACTGGCTGATCGACGTACGAGACGACCACCTCATCGCCCGGCTCGGGCTCCTTGCCAGCCCCCACTATGCTCAACAGCTTGGACATCAGACCCCTCTTTGGCTCGTCCCCTCTTGGAGTGCTGTTCGGCACTCCTGGTGAGGTCTTTGGGGCCTCGGCCGCACCTTCCCCGGCACCCGGGCCAGCCTCGCTGGCACCCTTCGAGGCCATGGCCGCCGCCGGCAAGGCCACACCAGCTGCTGCAGTGCTCACCGCCCCAGGCGGCGCTTCCTTTGCGGCGTCTGGGCCGTCCTTCCCAGCACTTGGAGTGCCCTCTGCCCCAACTGCCAAGTCCCTTGAGGCAAGGGTGGCGCCCTTTGGACCGTCTGGAGCACGATCGGTAGCCTTTGGGGCGGACTTTGCACCACCAGAACCGTCTGGTGACGCTGTGACCCCACCTGCCACACTACCATCGGGTGCAGCTTTGGGAGCAGCGGGTGTACCCTTGGGAGTACTGGGAGTGCCCTTGGGAGCAGCGCCTGAGCCCGTGGAAGCATCGGAAGTGCCCTTAGGAGTATCAGGCACCCCCCTGGCAGCATCGGGAGCGCCCTTGGCAACATCAGCTGAGCCTTTGGGAGCAACGTGCATGCCTTTGGCAGCAACAGGAGTGCCCTTGGGAGCATCGGGAGCGCCCTTTGAGCTATCTGGTATCGACTTTGGAGCACCAGGAGTGCCCTTTGAGCCATCCGGCAAGCCCTTGGAGGCATCTTGGGTGCACTCTCCTGCAGTTGGGAAAGCCCCAGATCCAGCTGGTAACTCACCTGCAGCATGCAGGGCGCTCTTTGGAGCATCTGGAGCCGTCTCTGTAGCATCCGGGCTGCCCTCCACCACAGTCAGCAAGTTCCTTGCCTGAGACGGGGCGCCTTCACTAGCCTTGGGCCCTTCCTTGTGAGTATCTGGTGGCCCCTGCACGGCAGCCGCTTCTTTCAGGTCCGGCCCAGCCGACTCCGCATCTGACTTCTTCTTGCCACGCACCTTCCTGTTCAGTTTCGACAGCAATCCTCCTTTGGGTTTCTCTTCACCGCCCTTCCTGGAGCGCGGGGTCACCACTGGCTCTGTGTCGCTGCCCACTGCTGAAGGGCCCTCCTTGCCAGATGGTGTCTCCTTCGCAGGAGTCTCAGTGCCCTTCTCAATAGCTGGAGACCCTGATGCGGCAGACGCTGAGCCCCCAGGGGTTTCTGGTAGGCCCTTCACACCGGCTGGGCTGTCCACCACGCCATCTGGGCCACCCTTGCCTTCAACTGGCTGGGTTTTGGTGGCATCTGGAGCACCTTTGGCAGCGTCCAAAGCGCCCTGTGCTGCAGTTGGCAAGGCCAACGCTGCCACTGGCAAAACCTTGGCTGCTGCGGGCAGGCCCTTGCTCGCCACCGTACTGTCCTTCTGAGCTGCCAGAGAGCCCTTGCCAGTGTCTGGAGCATCCTTTGTGGCGGACGGCGTGTCCTTGGGCCCCTCTGGGGCTTCCGTCCTGGCCGCTGGGGCCCCCTTTGCCAGTGCACCTGCTGGCGCATCCGCAGGGAACGCTCTCTTCTTCTCATCGCCAGGCTCCCCCTTTTCCTCAGGGGCTGCCTTACCTGCCGCCTTATCTTCTTTCTTGGCTGCCCCTGCTCCGACAGCCAGGTCGCTAATCGCCTCCCGCCGCAGGCTTGCCTTGAACACCAGCGGGCAAGACTGACGGCTTGAAGGACAGCGCTTTCTTCATCGACTGCCACCTCGCTCTGGCAGCAATGCCATCACCTGCATACCAGCAGAACTGAGAAATGCATCAGGCTGTCCAGCAGACTTCTCTGCCACACTACAAGTGGCCCCTATCACTTTGCACTGCTACTTACATGATTTTTGACCAATCCAGAAATTTGCGGAAACTGTTGGCATGCGCCACGGTGAATGTAGCCCTTCGTGTTGAAAATTGGACCCTGGTTCACAAAATATTGAGAAAAAGACAGTGCTTCGACTCCCGACAACTCTGGAGAGAAGAGGCCAATTCCATGGTTCTTGTGAAACAGACAAAAATCACCATGGTGGGGACTGCTTCCAGCCAGAGTGCAAGGACTGCGCTTTGAGAACTCGCAATATCACTTCGTTCTAAGGTCACCAAACTCATCCTAAGGAGGCACAACACATAGAAACGGGGTCAAAGGACTTGGAGCACCAATCGTTGTACGATCGTCGATTTTCAGCGCCTTTTAGGCTGATGCGGAAACAAGCTATGCATAATTTCTTTGTTAGCCATGAGGCGCTCTTGGGGCTCTGGCCTCTGTCATCTCCGAATACGATGTCCGCTAGACACTGCTCTCCGTCTATGGATACACATAATGCTCCTTGTAGGGCACATTCGCTGTGACACAGAGGAAGTTCTACACAAGACTGCAGTGCACGCGACATCAATTGTTGGGCGAAATGTAGCACACTTCAGCATCCGTGTGTAAGGTAAGAAGCAAGCCGGCAACGCAAAACGGCCAGACTCTTACCGCGAAGCGCCAACGGCAGTGGATGTGTCTTGCCCAGCTTTGCTTCGATGATGGGAACCAGGTCCATCTCATGCGCCTTTGCCACTCCCTGCAGCTCCTTGTAATAGTCCAGAGGCGTGCGGAACTCATCTGGCACCCTGGGCAGCACATAGGCAGGCACTTGAAGTCACCCGAGCCCTTTGGAGCTGTGATTCGCAGCCACAGGAACCTCTCCAACGCTGAGACGAGCTACACAGCTATCATTGCCCGGCTGGACTGCCACACAAAGGGGTGTGCAGACTGCAGTCCATGCACACAGCAAACCTCTGCAGCCGCCTGTCTGCTGACGGCTGTGCAGCTGGCGCCACTGAGGCACCAGCAAAATTACAAGGCGGCCAGCGGCACTCCTCCAGGGCCACCTTGCCACACGCCCATGCCCCACCTCACCGCACAGGCCAACGCCGACTTGCTGCCAATCAGGCAACCAGCACAGCCACTCACTTCTTGTAGACGATCGCCGTCTTCTCCGGGCCCAGCTCCTCCTTGATGTACTCATCCAACACCTTGACGTCCGCGAGGGCCTCCCTC